GATTCCAAGACAGGTGCTGTTGCTCCCAATCATATTGATTATCTAATGCTGTACGCATATCAACCCACTTTTCAAAATAACCAATAAGCTTACGATCCCCTTTTGCTGTTTGTACAATTTTAAAGCTTTTCAAACCATTAATTGCAGTAAGGAATGAATGTGGGCGATGGTCTTTCCATAAGGTTGCTACTGTCATCGAATCTGGAATTTTTCGAATTGTAGCTTGAAACTTCTCACGTTGTTTTCTTTCTTTGAGTGTCCACCTTGCTGGAAACCACTGAACTGGTATCCCCCTAAATCCGTAGTCCAAACTGGACCATCATTACCTTCAAACTGGGCTAGACGAAAGGAAGTTAATTCTATCTTCAAACGAACTGTCTGGTATTTCTTTTGTTGTTTCGTTTGTAACGAGATAATCTTTCCCACAGAGTTAACTGTTGCAGAATTTCTTCTGGTGTCAAGGATACTGGAATATCATAAACCAATATATCTCTAATCCATGATGTACCATCATCATCTGGTTTATGACCTGTAATAACTTGCTGAATAATATTTTTATTTGACTTCTTTTTTTTATTCGAAGATTTTGTCAAATTAGATGAATTGTCAACTGGTTGTTTTACAAGTTGCAGCTGAGGCGTTACATCCAGTTCAGAAATAGGTTGTACTGTTGAGATGTCCATATCAATATGTTGATCAACATGTGATTGTGATCCAGAGGCATCCGCAATCGACCGATTTATAATTACATCTTGATCAACACCCAATTGATCATCATCATCATCAGTATTTCTCATTATTCCACTAGTACTTACATCTGTAAGCACATCAGAATCTGAATCTTCAGATTGGTGTTTTTTCTTCTTATTTTTTTTAGCCTTCTTGCCCTTTTTAGACTTTTCCTCATTCTTTCTCACTAAACTTAACATTTGCTTTCTTCCTTCACTGTGCTCTTTTATTCCAGAGTATACTGCGTTAAAACCCTGAGAAGCAGAGTACATAGCAACATGTAAAAAAAAAGAAAAACTTTGAGGTGTCATTTTATAGCGAGTGGCTCTATTCTCCCAACTGAGTATTTCTTCATTTGATAGACCAAAATTTGCTTTTAAAATATTATTTTGAACTTCTACTTGAGGTCCAAAAAAAAATGAAGTAAAAAGACTTTCACAATATTGAAAATAATGTGTATATGTAAAATGTAAAAATCTATGTTCTTCACCAGTTCCATAAGGAAACCTATTTTCGGCTATTTGTATATTTCTACTATCTTCCATATTAATAAAAACGAGAGTAAAAAAAAAAAAATTTTTTATTTTTTACTGCGGAATTATTATGTTTTTAAGAAATTGAGGAAGAAGTTTTTTTTTTTTGTAAAGAAAATTAATTTATTATAGATGTTATTTTTTCGAGGTTAATATGTATGATCATCCATCCACATATGATCAACATAGCTGCGGAATTATAGGATAATCTTATTGAGAAATGAAGGATCTACAGTACATCAAAAAAAAATTTTCTTTTGTCGATTCCACTCAAATATCGTACTTCAAAACCGACTCTTTGGTTGCACAATTTTAATATTTTTTTTTTTATTTTAATAAAATAAAATAAAGATATAAAAAGGCCAAAAAAAGTTACGACAAGTTTATAACATCCAATATGATCCTTTCTTAAAGAATTGAAGGAAAATTACACCTGTCGAAAAAACAATATTTTTTCCTTTACAAATTTCCTTTGATAAAAAGAAGTCTTATATGAAATACTTTTCTACATTATAATCCCAGTTTACAATTACTTACCAAGTACCTTCCATTTCTAATTTTATTTATTTATTTTCGAATAGAGAGAAAAGTACCTTTCCCTTTTCGATCTATTTAAAAACATTGTTGCGACAAAAAGTCTTAACAAGATTTTCATAATAGATTTTGCACGAATCAATATGAACCCAATGTATTATCTTTCATCTTCCACTATTAATACTATGACTTACGTATCACAAGATAATGTTATTGCTGAATACTCGTTTTTTTATAAAGCATGGAACGATCATCAAATTTATCATATTACCTGCGAAGAAATCTCATTTGATATATATCGTTTCACTTCTTTTAAGCAATCACGTCTACTCGGCTCAAAATTACGTTCAATCAAGTAATTTACATGTATTTTTTTTACCAGTAACCTGATGATAAAAAAATTTATCAGATTATTTGTGAATTAGTTTCGTACAAATTCATTATTGATTTGTTGAATAAAATTAAATATGGGATTAAAATTAATGATCTACGACAAAAAGAATTTGAATTTCTCGGGAGAATGTAAAGAAAATTTGGAATTTTACTTGAAACAGGATTTGATTGATTGTTTGGCATCAAACAGAATTAACGAGCAATTTAATATGAATGTTAATGGTAGTTACTATACCTTAGAATAATATTTTTAAATAACTTTTTTAGGTTTCATAAATTATTTATTTGAGATATTCTTATTTCATAATATATTATAAATTATATACTAGTATACGTGTTTATTTTTCATGTATTCATATTTTATATTGGTCTTTAACATTTTTTAAATAAATTTATTTTACTTCAATACAACCTTATTCATTATTTAATAGAAGACAGATTGCAAAATGTATCTAGCATACTTAGGGAGGGATATAACTATAAAGTTCAAGTCCTGGACTTTAGGACTAAGTCTTCTTTAGCGTATCATTGGTATAAGCTAAAAGATATCTGATAAAAATGGTTATCCGGATAGATTATTTTTTAGTTGATGGGTATTAGGGTGTCCAGGATTTGACGATCACGATTTTATAACGATTTTGGCCAAAATTTTGCGATTTTTGCGATACCACGATTTTGGCCAAAATTTTGCGATTTTCGCGATACTCAAATATGATTGGCTATTTAGACACTATAAGTCACGTGAAATCGTGAATGTATTGCCGATAATAATCATTGATAATCTCTTTTTTTTCGCTTAGTCATTTTTAATAAAATGGTCGCGCCTCACATACGTTTGTCTCAAAGTGCCGAGTATCGTGAAAACTATATCGTACAAGAAAACAAACTATGGTGTCGATTTTGCAATGTAGAAATTGATCATGAAAGAAAGAACTCTGTAGATAAACATATTAAAACATTAAAACACCTTAATAATAAAAACAAGAATAATTCTAATTTGTTAATCCAAAGAACTTTACCTTCTTTTGAAAATACACTAAATGAACGAGAAAAAATTAATAAAGAGATAGTGGAAGCATTTACTTATGCAGACATTCCTTTGGAAAAAATTGAGAAATTAAAACCATTTTTATTAAATCATTGTAAAAATGGTATGTATTTTCTGATATTTCAATTTCAAATTTGCCTTTTTTATTTTTATTTATTAATATATTTTTGTTTATAGCGGGCTTAATTACTGGAGCAAATCAACTTCGTGAGAAATATCTTCCATTATCATATGAAATAGCGCTCCAAAAATTGAAAAATGATGTCATCAATAAAATTATTTGTTTGACAATTGATGAAACAACAGATCGTTGTGGCCGGCATGC